CCGATCAGGGTGAGATAAGAGTCATCAAACAGGGACTGAAATCATAAATAAGGAGTAGAAGTCATAAATAAGGAGTAGCTGTCATAAATAAGGAGTAGCCGTCATAAATAAGGAGTAGCAGTCATAACATTTCCGTGGTCAGAGACTTTTATTTGTCCTAGTCTTTGGTCTATGGCAGAGTTAAACTTGAAACGTTTGAGTCCTTCCATCCTGAAAAGCTTTTCTGCAGTCCTTAACTGAAGACTTATCGAATCGTTCACAATTCTGGACACAAATTTTATGATTCTTCCAAAACTTGCAGCCCAACATATTCTATCTCTCTGTCTACAAATTCCAGATATATCTTAGTTAATGTGCTCTTTATTATATCTATCTACAGATTCTAAATATATCTTAGATAAAATGCACTTTATTTTTTCTTTCTGTCTACAGATTCTAGATATATCTTAGAAAATGTGCTGTATTAAATCCGTCAGTTTAAACGTGTACGAAAATATCACATCCATTTTTTTAAAAATATCAGAGCATAAAGTTATGCTCAGCCCAGCTTGTGAAGTGTTGGAGTCAAGAACCACGCAGTTAAGGCTTCTTCTCATGGGTCATTCAACTGGTCAACCAGAACTGCACACATCACTAGACAAGTTAAGGCTTCTTCTCATAGGTCATTCATTTTGTCAACCAGAACTGCACACATCACTAGACAAGTTAAGGCTTCTTCTCACTGGTCATTAAACTGGTCAACCAGAACTGCACACATCACTAGACAAGTTAAGGCTTCTTCTCATAGGTCATTCATTTTGTCAACCAGAACTGCACACAGCACTAGACAAGTTAAGGCTTCTTCTCATAGGTCACTCAACTGGTCAACCAGAACTGCACACATCACTAGACAAGTTAAGGCTTCTTCTCACTGGTCATTCAACTGGTCAACCAGAACTGCACACAGCACTAGACAAGTTAAGGCTTCTTCTCATAGGTCATTCATCTTGTCAACCAGAACTGCACACAGCACTAGACAAGTTAAGGCTTCTTCTCATAGGTAATTCATCTTGTCAACCAGAACTGCACACATCACTAGACAAGTTAAGGCTTCTTCTCATAGGTCATTCAACTGGTCAACCAGAACTGCACACAGCACTAGACAAGTTAAGGCTTCTTCTCATAGGTAATTCATCTTGTCAACCAGAACTGCACACAGCACTAGACAAGTTAAGGCTTCTTCTCATAGGTCATTCATCTTGTCAACCAGAACTGCACACATCACTAGACAAGTTAAGGCTTCTTCTCACTGGTCATTCAACTGGTCAACCAGAACTGCACACAGCACTAGACAAGTTAAGGCTTCTTCTCATAGGTCATTCAACTGGTCAACCAGAACTGCACACAGCACTAGACAAGTTAAGGCTTCTCCTCACTGGTCATTCAACTGGTCAACCAGAACTGCACACATCACTAGACAAATTAAGGCTTCTTCTCATAGGTCATTCAACTGGTCAACCAGAACTGCACACATCACTAGAAAAGTTAAGGCTTCTTCTCATAAGTCATTCAACTGGTCAACCAGAACTGCACACATCACTAGACAAGTTAAGGCTTCTTCTCATAGGTCATTCAACTGGTCAACCAGAACTGCACACATCACTAGACAAGTTAAGGCTTCTTCTCATAGGTCATTCAACTTGTCAACCAGAACTGCACACATCGCTAGACACGTTAGGGCGTCTTCTCATAGGTCATTCAACTGGTCAACTAGAACTGCACACAGCACTAGACACGTTAGGGCGTCTTCTCATAGGTCATTCAACTGGTCAACCAGAACTGCACACAGCACTAGACAAGTTAAGGCTTCTTCTCATAGGTCATTCAACTGGTCAACCAGAACTGCACACATCACTAGACAAGTTAAGGCTTCTTCTCATAGGTCATTCAACTGGTCAACCAGAACTGCACACAGCACTAGACAAGTTAAGGCTTCTTCTCATAGGTCATTCAACTGGTCAACCAGAACTCCACACATCACTAGACAAGTTAAGGCTTCTTCTCATAGGTCATTCAACTGGTCAACCAGAACTGCACACAGCACTAGACAAGTTAAGGCTTCTTCTCATAGGTCATTCAACTGGTCAACCAGAACTGCACACATCACTAGACAAGTTAAGGCTTCTTCTCATAGGTCATTCAACTGGTCAACCAGAACTGCACACAGCACTAGACAAGTTAAGGCTTCTTCTCATAGGTCATTCAACTGGTCAACCAGGACTGCACACAGCACTAGACAAGTTAAGGCTTCTTCTCACAGGTCATTCAACTTGTCAACCAGAACTGCACACATCGCTAGACACGTTAGGGCGTCTTCTCATAGGTCATTCAACTGGTCAACTAGAACTGCACACAGCACTAGACACGTTAGGGCGTCTTCTCATAGGTCATTCAACTGGTCAACCAGAACTGCACACAGCACTAGACACGTTAGGGCTGCTTCTCATAGGTCATTCAATTGGTCAACCAGAACTGCACACAGCACTAGACACGTTAGGGGGTCTATTCACTGGTCATACTTCAAGTTGCACATTCCATTCATCTTGAACTCTTAAAGCATTACTGGCTGTCAGGTTTAGGGTTAAAAGTTTTTTTTTTCCCTTCGAGTCGTTAGATAGGGCAATGGTGCATAGCCGTAGGAACCCTCAGGGTCCCGACTATTTTTAGTGTCCCACTTATATAGTTAAGCTCTTGTTTTATGATCCGTGGTACAATAATTAATGTTAATAAATGATGGATTAAATAGAAACATCTATTTCGCAAACACCTTCTGGGATGATTGTCAACATTATTTTCCAGTTAATGCATAATGGCTGTGTTGCTTATGGTTGAAATGGCTAGAAGGACTTTGCCATTGTATGCTTGTACTTAGTTTTTGTCGTGTTGCGTTTGTTTTAAATGTGGTAAACTATAGATTTGTTTTTTTTTGACTTTGTACCGCGCTTCGAGCCTTTGGGGATGAAGCGTGTTTTTGAAATGAACTTTATTATTATTATTATTATTATGGATTAGTTGAAAAAAAAACACGAAACAAATATTGTAACATATTTAACGCCATTTCAGCATGATTTCCGTAACAAATCAATCTTAGTTGTAGTATCATTACCATGTAGTATCATTAACATGATGTCTCATTACCCTGTAGCAGCGTTACCAAAACACTACCATTTGGGTCGGAAGTAAATTGATCCCACGTTATTATTCTATCATACAATTCTTCCTCCCAGCGTAACAGAGCAGATCTCGTTACAGCACAACTTTCTTTCGACAGGCGAAAAGGTTTTTCCCGTGACAGCTATCCATAATCGCCTGAGCAGCATAGACTAGAGCAGTGGTTCTTAACCTGGATTCGATCGAACCCCAGGGGTTCGGTGAGTCAGTGTCAGGGGTTCGGCGGAGGTCAAAAAAATTAATAAATTAAAAAAAAAAAAATCATATTTTATTTTTCCTATTAAGAAGGTTTCGGCGAATGCGCATATGAAACTGTTGGGGTTCGGTACCTCCAAAAAGGTTAAGAACCACTGGCCTAGAGTCACATACACCCGGCCCAATACTCTTGGTGCTGCTAGCTGGTCTGCCACGTGAAGTTCCCAAATACTTCATCGATCGCAGCAAATATCGATCGCCAATACTCTGCCCGTGATCTGATCGGCGCCACCTAACGTAAAAATCAGCATACCCTTACATGTCACATAGTTTGAAATATAAAGTGAAGCATTCTACCCCCTACCCACACCCCCTTCCACCTCTTTGCACTACTGACATTCCTGGTTTCGTCCGGGTATCGCTAAGCAAGCTTATAAGTTGCGTCGCTGTAACAGAAACACACAAAAAGAGGTTAACTCAAATGTTAGTTTTCCCCATTGAATGTTTCCTAGAAATAACCAAGGAGGTCTGCTGGACGCCACCCACTTGTATGATACGTCATATGGTCGCCAATGAGAAGTGACAAAGTACGTTGAATCAACATTGGCGTGGAATAATACTGCACTGGTGCCTCCACCTCTAGCAAAGTAGAAGTTCAGAGAATTCGGGAACCGCTTTAAATTATACAATCCCTAAGAACAACGTTTTTCGTATAAATTCTTTATAAGCATTTTTTATCATTGTATTTTATATTAATATTCTTATTGATCTACTTCTTCTTCCACTTCTTGATCTACTTACTTTTTTTCTGTTTATTCAATTTTAAGACATCAGTGCGCTGTGAGCATGATAAAAATAGCATGGACACAAGCGCTATCAAAGTATTCAATCACCATCATCTACTTCTTGATCTACTTCTTGATCTACTTCTTGATCTACTTCTTGATCTACTTTTATTATTCTAAATAAATTCGTTTGTTTACAACAATCAGCATGTCAACAGCCAATACATTCGTCACAGTATCGTTAAGAGAAAACACACTAGTCATGAGCCGACGTAACAACTTCAAATGTGCTCTCAGTTTACATCGGTGCTCAAGCCAGGATCGTTAACATCTGACTCAAGGAGAGTGAACGATGGGAGAGAGGAGTGGGGGTGGGGTTTCTTAGTGAACTTAAAAAAGCAACCTATACCTTCCAATGCCTTCCAATACCTTCCAATACCTTCCAATACATTCCAATACCCTCCGGGTGTTAACTAGTTTAAATCACTTGCCTATTCCCCCCCTCCCCCCGGGACCCCTGAAAATGTTTCTACATGGCTAAGTCAAGGAGACATGTCTTTAACACAAGCTCAGCTCTATAACGTTCCCACCCTTGTAAACCCCCCTCCCCCTCCCCAATTTTTGTCACCCCCCCCCCTCGGTACCAAGATAGGATCAAATTGTAACTGTAAGAAAAAAAAATATATCGATTGCTATAAATGAAGGACCATTTTGTAAGGTATAGAACTTATTTNCCCCCCCCCCCCCCCCCAACACCGCCACTTACACCGGCTCGCCAATATAGAGTTGTTGACAACACAATTACATAGGGGGAGACCAGTCACAGGGGCTGATTCCATCGAGGCTTGTCGTTTTTGTTCCATTGGTCAGAGAGTAGTAGGAGTTCAAATTTTGTGTTCTTGTGTGTTGGATTGTTCCGTGATTTGTGGCAAACAGTTTTTTTTAATAATGGTGAGTATTGTTTATTCTCTACGTTTAGCACGGTCAGATGTTGTACAGCCCTTAAAACGCGCTGTTTATTTTAGCTGCAATGGGGGAAAATCGTGCATGAGCAACAGAACAGCAGGTCAATACTCTGTGTGTTTTTTTTTTTTTTATAGTCTTTGGACTAGGATATATTTATTAATAGTGTTAGGAAGAAAAGGGTTGGTTAAGACAGTTGGAATTATTAGTCAGGAATGGATTATTATTATTATTATTATTATTATTATTATTATTATTATTTTTCTTTTTGGTCGGGGGCGAGATCATTTAAAGAAATGATATGGTTAGATTTTAGATATGGTTAATGAGAAAAGTGTGGGTAATCGAGATGATTGAAATGATTGGGCCTGCTGCAGAAAAGTCCGGCCGAGTTAAAAACAGAAGTTATGAAACCATAGGGAAACAATTCGTGACCATTGTCACCTGACAAATGAACCATAGACATTTGGTCGTTGGTGGACCAGTTGCATTCTCCCGCGTACGGTAGTTATTCCCAGGATAATGGAGGTTCCCCTGTATTCACTGCATGAAGAAATTAAATCTTAGGCTGATGTTACAATCAAATTATATTTATGATGAAATAAAAATTTATACCGTTTCAGGATTTATTTTATAAATAAAAAAAAAAAAAAAATCCAAATTTAAAAAAAATAAGTTTAAAAAATTGTCTTTTATAAGCTAACTGCACAAACTGGAGCTGTAGGTCTTTCTCATAAGCTTACAGCAAAACCGGAGGTATAGGTCTTTTTGATAAGCTAACAGCAATAGCTGCAAGTGTAGATCTTTCTCAAAGATGATAGAATAATTTATTTATTGTGTTGGTGTACAGGGTGTTGGTGTACAAGGTGTTGGCGTGCAGGTGTTGGTGTACAGGGTGTTGGTATACAGGGTGTTGGTGTACAAGGTGTTGGTGTACATGGTGTTGGTGTACATGGTGTTGGTGTACAGGGTGTTGGTGTACAGGGTGTTGGTGTGCAGGGTGTTGGTGTACAAGGTGTTGGTGCACAGGGTGTTGGTGTGTAGGTGTTGGTGTATAGGGTGTAGGTGTACAGGGTGTTGGTGTACAGGGTGTTGGTGTACAGGGTGTTGGTGTGCAGGGTTTTGGTGTACAGGGTGTTGGTGTATAGGGTGTAGGTGCACAGGGTGTTCGTGTATAGGGTGTTGGTGTATAAGGTGTTTTGGTGTATAGGGTGATGGTGTATAGGGTGTTGGTGTGTAGGGTGTTTGTGTGTAGGGTTTTGGTGTGTAGGGTGCTGGCGTGTAGGATGTTGGTGTGTAGGGTGTTGGTGTGTAAGGTGTTGGTGTACAGAGTGTTGGTGTATATTGTGTTGGTTAATAGGGTGTTGGTGTACACAGTGTTGGTGTATGGGGTGTTGGTGAATAGGGTGTTGATGTAGAGGGTGTTCATTTCTGGTGTGTATGTGTACAGGGTGTTGATGTAGTTTGGTATTTTTGGTAGCTGAGCCGCAAGTCATGGAATGTTTAGGCATTGAAGGAGGTGATGTGCTACTGTCTCATTTAATTTTGTCTATGAAGTAAAGTAATGCTGTTTTAAATTCTAACACCCTGAACCATTGTCACTAAAAGAAGTTCTTTTTTAAGTAATTATTTAAAGTTAAGGCTGGTTAGAAGAGGTCAGTTTAGTGGTGGGCATCGTACAGAGAAGGAAGGTGTGTGAGATTTGTGGGAGGACGACAGAGGGAGAGAGAGGGAGAGAGACGGAGATAGGAAGAGAGAGGGAGAGAGAGGGAGAGACGGAGATAGGTAGAGAGAGAAATGATGAGAGAAAGATAGAGGAAGAGAAAGCGAAAGAGAGAGAGAGAGAGAGAGGGAGAGAGAATGAGATAGAGGAGGTCAAAATAGTGTGCGATAGTACATAATGTTCAAAGAGATGGAGAGCTGGGGTGGGGTCGGAGAGTTAGAATAGAGAGTAAATGCTAATCGTATAATCACAGGATAAGAAGGGAGGTTTCAGTAGACTGGAAGAATTCGCTGATAAACAACTGGCGTAGGAAGGGTGGGGTGATAGAAGGTTGGGGCGAAGGACGGCGAAGGCGTAGGACAAGTGGGGCGTAGGACAAGTGGGGCGTAGGACAAGTGGGGCGTAGGAAAAGTGGGGCGTAGGAAGGGTCGTGCTGCTCGCCCGTTGCGGCACTTTTGTTCAACATATTGAGGGGCGGATTTCTCGACAAGATGCAGATATTCTTCATGAGGGCGGGAGCGGGGAAAATCACGCCCCGTCCCAGTTGGCACCAACTATAGTTACGCCGCCGAGAAACAAATGTTAGCGCAGATGTAGATGGGTGTCTACTTGGATAGAGCGTTAACTGTGGACAATCTCATTAGCATGCTTTGCAAGGCGATTTTTCTGGAGCTGTGCAGAATGTCATATCAGACCTTTCTTAACGTTTGATGCAACAAAGAGGCTGATGTCTGCATTCTTGCTTTCACGCATGGACTACTGCAATGCTCTCATAGTGGGTCTTCCAGCTACGCTCCTGGATAAAATTTAAAAAAGCACAGAATAATGTAGCTCGCATTGTTCTTCGCTAACGCAAATTCGACCATGCTAAAACACTTGTGAGAGAGTTGCATTGGCTGCCGGTCCGCGCTCGCATAGAGTAAAAAATTGCAACTCTGTGCGACTGCTGCTTGCATGACCTGGCACCGTCCTATCTTTAAACACTCATGACGACTTATGTACCCACTAGACAACTCCGCTCATCCGATAGGGGCAAACTCTCCATACCACGTGTTCGTCTTGAGACTTACGGAAGGCGCACTTTCGCATTTGCTGGCCCAACAATTAGGAACACACTTCCTGACGCTCGCAGAAACAGCCAGATACTGGAGTCTTTCAAAACCGAATTGAAAACACATCTATTTCGCAAAAACCTGCTGGGGTGATGTTGTCTACCATCTTTTCCAGCTGGCTATTTCTCCTAGATGTATATTAACCTGTGATGTTTATGTTTGCAAGGGATGAAAGACTTAGAATGGGTATTCTCGTATGTATTTTGTGTAATTTTGCGTCTATTATTTCAATGCATAGATTTGTTCATTTCACTTTTAACATGGTTGACTTTTTACCGCGCGCGCATCGAGCCTTTGGGGATGAAGAGTGATTTTCTAATAAACTTTATTATTATTATAATTATTATGTAGCATTTCTAGGGAACATTTCAAATGTTAAAATAGAGGTAAAGAAACACACACGAATGATATACAAAGGGGTTAACAAAGAGAAAAGAACCGATGTAGTTTTATTAGTAATTCACCCCTATCTCTCCCCCCCCCCCTTTCTGTCACTCTCCCAACAAAGCCAAGTAAGTTTCAATTGAACAAAAATTTGACGTCCAGAAGGCGCTGTTGAACTCATATCTCCAACGCACGTACCTGGTTTCTTGAGAGAGCTGAATTATGCTAATGAGTATTGATAAACGTCATCCCCTGGCCGACTTAAGGTTCACTTTGACTGATGGTCGTCAGCGGCGGAAACTTAATGACGAATGGGGCGCAAAGATGAAAGAGCTCCGCTCGATCTCTACCCACGTGCCCAACCCCGAAAACAACAGCGACAACAACAACAACAAAAGCAACAACTACGAATCAGAAATAGACAACAACCTTACAGAGGTTGATTTTTTAAGCAAAAATAACAAGTACAGTAACATGGCATGGGGTCGAGATGACATGACAGGATTAACAATAACGGATCTGGCAACCGTTTGACATCAAGTCGCAGTAACATGGCATGGAGTCGAGATGACATGACAGGATTAACAATAACGGATCTGGCAACCGTTTGACATCAAGTCGCAGTAACATGGCATGGAGTCGAGATGACATGACAGGATTAACAATAACGGATCTGGCAACCGTTTGACATCAAGTCGCAGTAACATGGCATGGAGTCGAGATGACATGACAGGATTAACAATAACGGATCTGGCAACCGTTTGACATCAAGTCGCAGTAACATGGCATGGAGTCGAGATGACATGACAGGATTAACAATAACGGATCTGGCAACCGTTTGACATCAAGTCGCAGTAACATGGCATGGGGTCGAGATGACATGACAGGAGTAACAATAACGGATCTGGCAACCGTTTGACATCAAGTCGCAGTAACATGGCATGGAGTCGAGATGACATGACAGGATTAACAATAACGGATCTGGCAACCGTTTGACATCAAGTCGCAGTAACATGGCATGGGGTCGAGATGACATGACAGGATTAACAATAACGGATCTGGCAACCGTTTGACATCAAGTCGCAGTAACATGGCATGGGGTCGAGATGACATGCCTAACAATAACGGATCTTGGAACCGTTTGACATCAAGTCGCCCCGACCATGTCACGACAGGGGCATTCTTATCGTGCGAATGGATTTGTGAAGAAAGTAGTGCCGGGTAGGGGAAATGGCATTTGTGTGTGTGTGTGTGTGTGTGTGAGGGGAAAGAAAGGGGTCAACAGAAAGGAAAGATTGAAAGTGGGATTGTGTGGAATTCGGTGGCGGGCTGTCATTTTATTTTAATTAACTTGATTTACGATATTTACATAAACGAATATGTGACAAAGGACATAGGTCCACGTAAAGTTATCGACAGAGAGCGCTGAGTCTGCTAGCACGTGCACATTTCAGTTACGTCATTGGCCTGAGAGGATGAAAAAAAATATATGGAGCTACAGTTATATGGATTGAAGTTATGCAAATCGTATGAACTACGTGGCGTGTACGTTTCTATTTAAGATTGATGTGTTGAGGTGTTACCCGTGGATTTTATTTTGTGGAAAGAAAAAAACCAAACAAGTTCCAATCAATCTATTTAAGCTGAAACTATCGATTTAATCATTGATTAGATCTGCCATTTTTAGTTTTATATCAGGTATAATGCTTAATTCAGTGTCATGAGTTATGTCACTGTACAGTCTGGTCAAACTTCATACAATGTCATAGTTTATGTTACTGTACAGTCTGGTATAAATTCATAAAGTGTCATGGTTTATGTTACTATCGAGCTTGGTATAACTTTATAAAGTATCATAGTTTATGTTAATATGTACAGTCTGGTATAACTTCATAAAGTGTCATAGTTTATGTTACTGTAAGTCTGTTATTCTGTATAAGTTCATAAAGTGTCATAGTTTGTGTTACTGTACAGATCTGGTATAACTTCATGAAGTGTCATAGTTCATGTTACTGTACAGATCTGGTATAACTTCATAAAGTGTCATAGTTCATGTTACTGTACAGATCTGGTATACCTTCATAAAGTGTCATTGTTTATGTTACTGTACAAATCCGGTATAACTTCATTGTATGTGAGATTAAAGACTTCCCTGTGTTGTGAATGACGTATGAACAAATCAATGAGACCCTTAAAAAATTGCACGTCAATTAAAGCACTTGCCCTAACACGAGACCGAAGGGCCAAATATGGTCCTTAAGTTCTTAGATCAGGGATCCTCACAATTTTTAACAAGGGTTTGGCGCAGGGTCATCAGACATTTACGGGGGCTGGATCAGTGTCTCTAAGACACTATCTGAGGACAGACTACAGTTTTTAAAAAAAAATGAATTCTATGCCCATTGCACATAACTCAATTATATGATCATCACACATATCTCAGTTCTATGATGAATGCACAATGTCAATTCTATGATCAGTGCACATATCTCAATTATATGATCAAAACACATATTTCAATTCTATGATCAATGTATATATTTCACTTGTAGTAAAAAAAAGAAAGAAAAGAAAACCCGAAATAATTGTAAAACAATAGTAACATATTTAATATGAAAACAAATATCTCACATAAACTTAATAGTATTTCCAAGGGATATATGACTAATGAGGTGATCAATGTCGGATTCTATATTTATCGCTGCTAGCCAGGCGCTCTTACGGTGGCTAGGCCAGTCGGAAAAAAAAATGACTACTGGCAGGCCGGATCTGTCCCGCAGGCCGTAGTTAGAGGACACTTGTTATAAATCATTGAATAATTATCAATTTTTGGGCGGGAAGAACCACGAGGGATGTCCATGAGTTATGCACATGATGTGTGGTCATCAGATGTGTACATGAGGCTTGTAAACGGGGTGTGTACATGAGGTGTGTACATTAGTTGTGTATCTGAGGTGTGCACATGCTGTGTATACACGAAAGTGTGTAGATCAGGTGTGTACAAGAGGTTTCTAAGCAAGTTGTGCATATGAGGTGTGTACGTGGAGGCTGTCTTCATCAGTTGTGTACACGATCTGTGTGAATGAGGTGTGTACATGAGGTTTTTACCTGATGCGTGTTGATGAGGTGTGTGCATTGAGTTGTGTACATGAGTTGTTTATATGACGTGAATACATTAGGTGTGTGCGTCATGCGTCCACATTGCTCTGCTGGTAGGGATATTCAATGTCTGATTCAAAGTTACACCTTTATGATGCTAGGGCGTCATTACTAGAACATCAATTTGAGTAATTTAAGTCATAATAAGAATTAAATTAATAAAAATTTTCCTTGAATATTACACATCATGCTCCCATCACTCATTTTTGAAGAAAGTGTGGATGTACAAAGAAAATTGTGAGAATTCCTCATTTAGCTATTTGAAAAGAGCCGTTAAAAACTATCTTTGTTAAAGTATAGCCTTGGATAGCGCAAAGCTCCCCCCCCCCCCACTTCATCGTAGTTATTTTTAGCCACCACTTGTCTCGTTAGTCTCGTTTTGATATTGACGTCACCTAGTAAATGTGCTTGCTCGCCCCCTTTCTTGAAAAGGGAAAAGGTTGTTTACATTCGAATGCGTTCTTTTTATTTTAAAGAATGCCATTAGGTGAAGCATGTCTAGACTTTCTGTATTAGAACATGCTCTATTAGTTTCTATATAAAGGCTGCGAGCTTTCTTAGTAGATAAACAGAGCGAGCCATATATGGAGTGCCAGGGATAATTTTGTTCCTTACAGGAGACATTATATAACTGCTTGCGTGTAAATCAATAGATTCTACTTGTATTGTGTTACTTGCTGTAAGTTGATACAGTTTCTTTGCGCCTGTGCACAAAGTTGAACTTTTTATATGAATGCGCTCAAATGATTACATTAAATACAGTAGTATCACTAGCTTTGATGTGTAGCTCAGTTTTCTTGCTGCAAAATATGGTTTTAAAAAATAAACATTACCCTGACAACGATAATATAACAGGTTTGTGCTTCGAGTAGTGTTGACCAAAGGGACATAAACCAGGCGTATCTGTCCGGGCGCGAGTAATTAGAACCTCGATATTGGACGTGCGATGACAGGTCGATGGATAATTTTTAGCCCTAAAGTTCACTGGCTGATCCGACTTGGAGCAGGACAATTTTAATTCAGTGATTTGTCAATGCATCTAAAACTGAAAGAACCTAAAAGATATGATTACAAAAAGTGACATATTAACATTTTAAAACATGTTTTTTTCCCTAATCCTTGTTAAAATGTCACATTTAGAGTGTACAATATCAAGGGTTTTTAAATGCCCAATAAAGAATACCGGGGTCACTATGCCGGGGTCACTATGACGGGGTCATTATGCCGGGGTCACATCGCTGTGTAGGCAGAGACTGATGCAAAGTCCATAGGAATATATTAACTATTCTGAAAATATAATCTAAGTACGTCATTTCCTCCACAAGGTTTCGTTTCAAATTTACTTATGATCAGTATTTACTGAGTCTTTACTCAACATGTTAATAAGGAGCCGTAATTGTTGCTAAGACTGCCATGGATGCTCATCGAAAATAAACGATAACGTCTAATTTAGAAAATCATTGAAGGGTATTGTACTAAATTTTAGAACTTTTACCACATAGAAACGTATTGGGGAGGATATTAATAAAATTATTATTAATATATGCGGATTATGTGTACTGAAATAAACTTTCAATTTTTTTTCATATATAGTACTTGCTAAATAAATTCTTGTTTTAACTACGTAGAGTCTGACGTCACTAATCGGCAGAGATTTGGCAGCTTTTACATGGTGTAACATTGGCCATAGGAGAAAAGCAAAGTTTAACATTGACCATAGGAGAAAATCAAAATGTAACATTGACCATAGGATAAAAGCAAGGTGTAACATTGGCCATATGAGAAATGCAAAATGTAACATTGGCCATAGGAGAAAAGCAAGGTGTAACATTGGTCATAGGAGAAAAGCAAGGTGTAACATTGAACATAGGAGAAAAGCAAAGTGTAACATTGAACATAGGAGAAAAGCAAAGTGTAACATTGGCAATAGGAGAAAAGCAAAGTGTAACATTGGCCATAGTAGAAAAGCAAAGTGTAACATTGGCCATAGTAGAAAAGCAAAGTGTAACATTGGCCATAGTAGAAAAGCAAAGTGTAACATTGGCAATAGGAGAAAAGCAAAGTGTAACATTGGCAATAGGAGAAAAGCAAAGTGTAACATTGACCCTCGGAGAAAAGCAAAGTGTAACATAGACAATAGGAGAAAAGCAAAGTGTAACATAGACAATAGGAGAAAAGCAAAGTGTAACATGGACCACAGGAGAAAAGCAGAGTGTAACATGGACCACAGGAGAAAAGCAGAGTGTAACATGGACCACAGGAGAAAAAAAGTGTAACATGGACCACAGGAGAAAAGCAGAGTGTAACATGGACCACAGGAGAAAAAAAGTGTAACATGGACCACAGGAGAAAAGCAAAGTGTAACATGGACCACAGGAGAAAAGCAAAGTGTAACATGGACCACAGGAGAAAAAAAGTGTAACATGGACCACAGGAGAAAAGCAGAGTGTAACATGGACCACAGGAGAAAAGCAGAGTGTAACATGGACCACAGGAGAAAAGCAAAGTGTAACATGGACCACAGGAGAAAAGCAGAGTGTAACATGGACCACAGGAGAAAAGCAGAGTGTAACATGGACCACAGGAGAAAAGCAGAGTGTAACATGGACCACAGGAGAAAAGCAGAGTGTAACATGGACCACAGGAGAAAAGCAGAGTGTAACATGGACCACAGGAGAAAAGCAGAGTGTAACATGGACCACAGGAGAAAAGCAGAGTGTAACATGGACCACAGGAGAAAAGCAGAGTGTAACATGGACCACAGGAGAAAAGCAGAGTGTAACATGGACCACAGGAGAAAAGCAGAGTGTAACATGGACCACAGGAGAAAAGCAGAGTGTAACATGGACCACAGGAGAAAAGCAGAGTGTAACATGGACCACAGGAGAAAAGCAGAGTGTAACATGGACCACAGGAGAAAAGCAGAGTGTAACATGGACCACAGGAGAAAAGCAGAGTGTAACATGGACCACAGGAGAAAAGCAGAGTGTAACATGGACCACAGGAGAAAAGCAGAGTGTAACATGGACCACAGGAGAAAAGCAGAGTGTAACATGGACCACAGGAGAAAAGCAGAGTGTAACATGGACCACAGGAGAAAAGCAGAGTGTAACATGGACCACAGGAGAAAAGCAGAGTGTAACATGGACCACAGGAGAAAAGCAGAGTGTAACATGGACCACAGGAGAAAAGCAAAGTGTAACATGGACCACAGGAGAAAAGCAAAGTGTAACATGGACCACAGGAGAAAAGCAAAGTGTAACATGGACCACAGGAGAAAAGCAAAGTGTAACATGGACCACAGGAGAAAAGCAAAGTGTAACATGGACCACAGGAGAAAAGCAAAGTGTAACATGGACCACAGGAGAAAAGCAAAGTGTAACATGGACCACAGGAGAAAAGCAAAGTGTAACATGGACCACAGGAGAAAAGCAAAGTGTAACATGGACCACAGGAGAAAAGCAAAGTGTAACATGGACCACAGGAGAAAAGCAAAGTGTAACATGGACCACAGGAGAAAAGCAAAGTGTAACATGGACCACAGGAGAAAAGCAAAGTGTAACATGGACCACAGGAGAAAAGCAAAGTGTAACATGGACCACAGGAGAAAAGCAGAGTGTAACATGGACCACAGGAGAAAAGCAGAGTGTAACATGGACCACAGGAGAAAAGCAAAGTGTAACATGGACCACAGGAGAAAAGCAAAGTGTAACATGGACCACAGGAGAAAAGCAAAGTGTAACATGGACCACAGGAGAAAAGCAAAGTGTAACATGGACCACAGGAGAAAAGCAAAGTGTAACATGGACCACAGGAGAAAAGCAAAGTGTAACATGGACCACAGGAGAAAAGCAAAGTGTAACATGGACCACAGGAGAAAAGCAAAGTGTAACATGGACCACAGGAGAAAAGCAAAGTGTAACATGGACCACAGGAGAAAAGCAAAGTGTAACATGGACCACAGGAGAAAAGCAAAGTGTAACATGGACCACAGGAGAAAAGCAAAGTGTAACATGGACCACAGGAGAAAAGCAAAGTGTAACATGGACCACAGGAGAAAAGCAGAGTGTAACATGGACCACAGGAGAAAAGCAGAGTGTAACATGGACCACAGGAGAAAAGCAGAGTGTAACATGGACCACAGGAGAAAAGCAGAGTGTAACATTGGCCATAGTAGAAAAGCATGGTGTAAAATTGACATAGGAGAAAAGCAAAGTGTAACATAGACCATAGGAGAAAAGCAAACTGTAACATTGACCATAGATGTTCATAAGAGAAAAGGTTCTCCAACATCTAAGTACGTCATTTGTTTAGGGCAGTGTGGGGCATTAGCCACGCACCCCCTCCCCTCCCAATTGGCAGGTTTTATGTAAATTGCGTTGTTTTGTTGCGCTTCCCACTTAACCAGCCGCCAAATTTTTCGTTTCCCCCCCCCCCCCCCCACACACACACACACTGAAATGATGCCCTTGTCCACATCCTCATAATCTCACCTCCAAATCGTTTTCATTTGAAACTATATCGATTACAAGAGTTGCCGGATTAAAGGATTTAATAAGAGTAATTCGATATTTGCGTTAGCAGGCCGCGTCTGTCTGTTAGCAGGCTGTGTCTGTTACCAGGCCGCGTGTCTGTTACCAGGCTGTCTGACTGTTACCAGGCTGTGTCTGTCTGTTAGCAGGTCATGTCTGTCTGTTAGCAGGTCATGTCTGTCTGTTAGCAGGCTGCGTCTGTTAGCAGGCCGAGTCTGTCTGTTACCAGAAGGTGTCTGTCTGCTACCAGGCTGTGTTTGTCTGTTAGCAGGCTGCTTCTGTCACAAGGCCATGTCTGTCTGTTACCAAGCTGTGTCTGTCTTTCTCAAGTGTGCGCTCAAGGCTGTCGTGTCGACTCTGTTCTTGACAGAGTTGGTATCTGGAGGTTGAGGGCGGGGGTGTTACAAGAGGAGGGGACTGCACACAAGAATACGCGCGCCCCACCCCATGTATTCGTTAGAGCATTGCAACTGTTCTTATATAATAATAACTGGTTCTACTGTATACTTCTGCACAATATTGGGTTTCGATAGTTTAAAAAGTGTCCTTTTCCATTGTGGATTGGCGATGACATGAAAAACGCATGTCAAAGTCATGTTCGACATTTCCAAAAATTTGACGCAAGAACCCCCAAACTACTCACCGTGACATTCACTCAGAGCCGACTTTACATGCTTCAGCGCCTTCAAAAACATCATTCCCATTGAATAGTTAATTTTTAAACATTACACATCCTAACATCTTTTCAATACTTGCACTAGATTATATATTGAAATTCCAATCTACGCTGCTACATCATTTTATATGGTCTTCTCAAAACAACACTGAACCATTAGCTACTATATTTGGTTGCTAGTTCTTCGACCACGGTCACAGACATAATAAGTCTTAACGTTCTGAAAACGTTAATCTAAAATGTACACACGAGGATAGAGAGAAAGTTGTTAGACAATGGTGTGTGTGTGTGTCTTTGTGTGGAAAAAGTTGACATTTAAGTGAGTCCGTAGATCATAATTTGAGCAAGAACGTGTCCCGGGTCATGAAACAACCACGCATAGAACTGCATTTAGTAAAAGCTACTCCACCGCCTTCAGTTGTACGTTGTTGGGTGTATTCCTGGCTGTCGGGTTTGATACTAAGACCCAAATGGTTATCGTCACATGCTTGGTTATCATCACATGCTTGGTTATCATCACATGCTTGGTTATCATCACATGCTTGGTTATCATCACATGCTTGGTTATCATCACATGCTTGGTTATCATCACATGCTTGGTTATCGTCACATGCTTGGTTATCGTCACATGCTTGGTTATCGTCACATGCTTGGTTATCATCACATGCTTGGTTATCGTCACATGCTTGGTTATCGTCACATGCTTGGTTATCATCACATGCTTGGTTATCATCACATGCTTGGTTATCGTCACATGCTTGGTTATCGTCACATGCTTGGTTATCGTCACATGCTTGGTTATCATCACATGCTTGGTTATCATCACATGCTTGGTTATCATCACATGCTTGGTTATCGTCACATGCTTGGTTATCGTNTTGGCACTAAACCTGTTTAGTTTTTCTACCATTGGCACTAAACCTGTTTAGTTTTTCTACCATTGGCACTAAACCTGTTTAGTTTTTCTACCATTGGCACTAAACCTGTTTAGTTTTTCTACCATTGGCACTAAACCTGTTTAGTTTTTCTACCATTGGCACTAAACCTGTTTAGTTTTTCTACCATTGGCACTAAACCTGTTTAGTTTTTCTACCATTGGCACTAAACCTGTTTAGTTTTTCTACCATTGGCACTAAACCTGTTTAGTTTTTCTACCATTGGCACTAAACCTGTTTAGTTTTTCTACCATTGGCACTAAACCTGTTTAGTTTTTCTACCATTGGCACTAAACCTGTTTAGTTTTTCTACCATTGGCACTAAACCTGTTTAGTTTTTCTACCATTGGCACTAAACCTGTTTAGTTTTTCTACCATTGGCACTAAACCTGTTTAGTTTTTCTACCATTGGCACTAAACCTGTTTAGTTTTTCTACCATTGGCACTAAACCTGTTTAGTTTTTCTACCATTGGCACTAAACCTGTTTAGTTTTTCTACCATTGGCACTAAACCTGTTTAGTTTTTCTACCATTGGCACTAAACCTGTTTAGTTTTTCTACCATTGGCACTAAACCTGTTTAGTTTTTCTACCATTGGCACTAAACCTGTTTAGTTTTTCTACCATTGGCACTAAACCTGTTTAGTTTTTCTACCATTGGCACTAAACCTGTTTAGTTTTTCTACCATTGGCACTAAACCTGTTTAGTTTTTCTACCATTGGCACTAAACCTGTTTAGTTTTTCTACCATTGGCACTAAACCTGTTTAGTTTTTCTACCATTGGCACTAAACCTGTTTAGTTTTTCTACCATTGGCACTAAACCTGTTTAGTTTTTCTACCATTGGCACTAAACCTGTTTAGTTTTTCTACCATTGGCACTAAACCTGTTTAGTTTTTCTACCATTGGCACTAGACCTGTTTAGTTTTTCTACCATTGGCACTAAACCTGTTTAGTTTTTCTACCATTGGCACTAAACCTGTTTAATTTTTTTTCCATTAAATTCCGTTTCAAAAGGAATTCTGTTCTTTCATTCATGAATAGACGTTTGATAAAAACGTACGCAGCTCTAATCGTAAGAGATTATAAGCTTTGAAGCATTAAAAGAAGGTTTGAGACAAACCATTGACACAGTTGCTAATCGCTGTTTTCAGTTAGCAAAGGAACTAATCTAGGGTGTAGGGAGAGATTTAATGCACACACACACTGAGGCTATGCAGGTTGCTAAGGACGCTTTTTTGTTGTTTGTGGTGATCTACAAGGCGTTTTTATGATAACACCTTTCTATAGAATCGGTGACTGCCTTGTGTTTTGTTTTTTTATTACGGCTCTGTAAGGGGTGGTGGGTGACGGTGGGGGTACTTGTATACGTGTGTACGTGTGTACGTGCGTGGTGATGGGGCTAAGGGGGTGGCGGTCGCTGCACCAGGCGAGACGGGTTCTTGGGTGAAGGTGGAGCCGCCTTTGTTTAAGTTTTGAACACAAAATTAAAGGTTAATGGAAAATAGAGCTGTGTGTTGAATCAGCACTGAGGCGTTGCGTGAGGGGGTTGGTTTATTTCAATTCAGCAAACTGTAGGTTAGTTTATGAAAGAGGTATACACATTTATAAGATCTCTCAAATCAAGGATTCTAAAACTTTTGAAAGGAATCAGTGATTCTAAAACATTTGAGTGGGGCAGAGCGTCGAGACTGAAGGAATTATCCAAACTGGCGGCATGGAAATGCGCTAAAACGATTTCTTGTTGTTGATAAACTATTTTAAATTATGTTTAAGCTCCCGTAGACCGGCGACTGAGTGGCCACGGACCTCTACCTGTCAAACACAGGTTACATAACAATTACTGTGATCAGGGGCGTGTGAATTGGTGGAGCGAGTTAAGAGGCGGCCGCCCGGGGCGCCATTTTCAGGGAAGCGCCTAAACCGTCAATGATTATGTCAAAAGTCCTTGATCATATATCATCTATTGACGAAACAAGGGCAGTGGAGGGGAAGCCAATTTCAGCCTCCACCCTGCGCAGGTTTCCCTTACCCCGCCCATGACTTTGATTTATTTTTCTCTTCCCCTCTCTCCCCCCCCCCCAAATGCATTGTTTGGATGGATAAAAAATATGAACACTTTTCCTTTCATTCCAGGCAGACACAGATTCAGATCCTCATGACGTCAAGGGAGAGGAGGCGGAGACAGAAGAGGAGGCAGAAAACAACGTGGAGGTTGGAGGTAAGAAAATAGCAAGACAGACAGACCATTACAGACATTATGTCAATGTTCTTCTTAATAATTGCGTCAGACTTTCAACCCCAGCAGTCCACAATCAAGGCCTATCGTGTGCAGCAACCAACCCCACCCCCACATTCACACTAAGGTACCGCCCACACTAAGGGATCAATGGTCTGGAGCACCCCCCCCCCTTCCCCCCTCCGAGCCGATCCTTACCCCTGTCTGATACACATCTATTTCGGTCCATTTCTTGTCAGGGATGNTCAATGGTCTGGAGCACCCCCCACCCACACTAAGGGATCAATGGTCTGGAGCACCCCACACCCACACTAAGGGATCAATGGTCTGGAGCACACCCCCACCCACCCTAAGGGATCAATGTTCTGGAGCACCCCCCCCCCCGCCACACTAAGGGATCAATGGTCTGGAGCGCACCCCCACACGCAAGGCCCATTGTCTGGAGCAACCCCTCCCACACACACACAAAAGATTCAATCGTCTGGAGCTACCTCCCACACACTCTGGGACCCATCGTCTGAAGCACATCCCACCACCCAAAACACTCAGGAATCAATCGTCTGAAGCTACCTCCCACACACTCTGGGACCCATCGTCTGAAGCACATCCCACCACCCAAAACACTCAGGAATCAATCGTCTGGAGCTACCTCCCACACACTCTGGGACCCATCGTCTGAAGCACATCCCTCCCCTCCACACACTCAGGAATCAATCGTCTGGAGCAAACCCATCCCCCACATTTCGGCTAACCCCAAGTTTCATAAAACGTAATAACTGCTATCATGTTGGCTGAAGCCAGACGTTTGATCCAAGGGGTGTAGTGGGGCAACCTGTAAATTCTGCATTGGTTTTTACCTGTTCTTCACTTGAAACTGATTTTCAAACCAGTACATGGAGTCCCGTAGGCGGTATGACATTTACACAATGAAAATTCCGGCAACTCCTGCATGGCTAATGGTGGCAGGCTGTATCATCCATATGGTGTGTTTCCTTGGGTTTTCCAGATTCAGGGAGACAGGTAATTTGTCAGGGAGACAGGTGATTTGTCAGGGAGACAGGTGATTTGTCAGGGAGACAGGTGATTTGCCGTCTAGGGAACCAGCTTATCCTCCTAAAGAAAAAAATCCCAGGCCTTGTTATTTCGTCCTGTCAAATCTACGCCATCCTGTGACGTACGGACTAACAAAATAAATATAAATAAATGAATATCCTGCCTATAAAATTCACAAGTCTGCAAATTTGGTTAAGCTTTGAAATCTGATAATGTTTTTTATAATAAAATTCCATATTTAAAAAAAAATTGAAATTCGGACTTTTTAAACTAAAATTTGATATTTTTACATTGAAATCTTTCATTTTTTTTATATTGAACTTTGATATTGAGATTTTAAAATTTTGATAATGATATGGGTTATTGAAATTTGAGATTTTTTATACTGAAATTCTTACTGATATTGAAATTTGGGGGATGGGAGGAAATCTAACTATAAATAAAGACATTGTCTGTTAATACATTTTGAAATGTTTATCTAAAAAAAACAAACAGGTGGCGATGGAAAAGCAGCTGACGATGAAGAAGATGCGGATGACGCCACTGCAGAGCCTGGAGATGAACCAGATGCTGACGAAGACGCAGAAAAGCAAGATGGAAATCTTCAAGACGACGACGCTGATGGCAAGGTGGATGACCAAGAACAACCCCCAGAAGACGGGACCCCTGCAGGGGACGACGATCAGGCTGGAAATGCTGAAAACGAGGCCGACGGTCCACCAGACGAGAATGCAGGAGTTTCACCTACGGCCGATGAAGGTGGGTTTCATTTATGCTCTACAATTATTCTTACATTGAAATGTGTAACAAATAACCATCTACACCTAATCGCTGATTGCATAAATGGCAGGGTAGAGGCTCAGAAAAAGGGGCATGTTTATAAAAATTATTTTATCGGATAATCCTCGGTACAGCATTGATTCAGTTTTATAATCTTTTTCAAAGAGTAAAAAAGAAATTAAAACAAAAATATTTATTAGGTTTTAAGAGTAATTTTTAAACACATAGCAAAGCGTGGACACAACACATGTCACCACTACCGATGTCATATTTACAAATGCCGACACTACCCATGTCATAGCTACAATGTCACCACTACCGATGACATACCTACAAATGTCCCGACTGACGATGTCATATTTACCAATGCCATCACTAACGAGTTCATAATTACAAATACCACCATTACATATGTCACAACTACAAATGTCTCCACTACCGATGTCATAATGACAAGTGCCACCACTACCGAACTCGTAAGAAAATATGCCACCAATGCTGGCGCCACAACTCCACATGCCGTCCCTACTGGTGCCCTAGCTTCAACTGTCACCCTCACCCTCACTGACTCCACCAGGAAGTTATTTGGCGGAAGGAATCCTTGTCTGACTATTCACGTCTAAGATTAATTTATTTAAACGTACTTTCGTTGATATGGCGCTCATTTCATTCAAACTTCTCAGAAAAAAAAAAAACAGCAACATTTTCTTTTGTTTCTAACGGCAGGCTGGGGGAGAATATGAGGGGTTAGTTGGATGTCTAGATGTCGCGGGGTGGGTTGAATAGAAACAAGATGTTGCACGATGAGAAAAATTTATTGGAACAATTAAAATTTTAAACATTCAATTCTTACTTTTTTCAAAAATTAAACGGGAAGAGACGAATGTAGTCTCAATACAAAAAAAACAAAAAAAACAAAAAAAAAAAAAAAAAAAAAAAAAAACAAAAAAAAAAAACAAAAAATAAAAAAAAAAAAAAAAAAAAAAAAAAAAAAAAAAAAAAAAAAAACAAACAGAAAAAAACAACCCAACAACTCCGCTTAGATTTATATAAAAATTTAAAATGTTCATATAAGAGAAGAATCGCTTCATTTATCCCACCCCAATGCTAGTGCTGACTCCCCAACAGCTATCCAACCATTCAACAGATTCCAATCATTTAACACCTATCATCCATTCAAAAAAATATCAATACATAAACACATTCCAACATATCAACACATTCCAACAATTCAACACATTCCAACAATTCAACGCATTCAAACCACTCACACATTCCGATACTCAACACATTCCAAGCCATTCCAACCAATAACACATTCCTACCGTTCAACACATTTCAACCAATTAACACATTTCAACCAATTAACACATTTCAACCAAATAACACATTTCAACCAATTGACACATTCCAACAACTAACACATTCCAAACAATCAACACATTCCAACCAAACAACACATTCCAACCATTCGACTCGTTCGCCCACAGTATATTTCGCATTTTTTTCTATTTATACTTGATATTTCCCAATTTCTGATCACTTCCACAGGCAGAGACCAGGAAGGCAAGACCTCTCCAACACAAGATGGCGGCCCGCCCGAAGAGGAGGCAGGAGAGGAGGATATCGACAACCAGGGTGCTGCTGATGATGCTGGTGTGGGAGATGAGGTTGCCGCTGATGATGGCGGTGTGGGGGATGAGGGTGCCGGTGATGATGGTGGTGAGGAGGATGAGGGAGTTGGAGACGAGGGTGCTGCTGTTGATGACGATGCTGGTGAGAAAGAAGAAGGTAACGTCACGTTCGGTCAAATAAATTCCACACATCTGCTACAACCTGTGCTCACGTTTAGGTCAATAATTATAATTATCTTTGACAAAAGGATTTCCCAAAGAAACTGCCGCACTGGGAGGAGTGGGTCGCGTGCCGCAAGTGGGATGTGTGTGCCACGATTAGGATGTGTGTGCTGCAACGGGGATGTGTGCGTCGCCAGTGGGATGTGTGTGCCGCCAGTTGGATGTGTGTATGTGTATTTTTAAAGTAGAATATAGATACATTTCTAAATATCGCTAAAAATACAGTTTTCCCCCATACATTTGAAAACAATGGTAAATCCGCTCACAAAAAAATCATGGTATACCAAAAGGTATAATTAATATAGGCCAGTGGTCGGCATATCACGGCTCGCGAGCCGCAATGCGGCTCTTGAGTGACCCGAGTGCGGCTCGGCCAGTGGGAAACAAATCGGTTTTGACTCCAAAAATCATGGTTCTTGATAGGTTCTTGAAAAGAAATTTGGCTCTCAAACAAATTTTAATCGTCCTGCTGCTGATTTGTCGGTTCTTTTGACAAAGTTTTGCGACCACTGATCTAAGAGATAGGGTAGCTACCACATAGTGATAAACGTAAATAAATAAATAATTATTTATGTTTCACACAATTTGAGCGTTGCTTACAAACGCCCCTGTAAATATAAATTCAATTAACAATTTTGGGTGGGCTGTTTACATATTGAACCATCTAACACCAACATGACATTCAGTGTTTTAAAATTTACTGTCATTTACCGCATCTTTTCAGATAAAGTCAATGGAGCACCAACGTTGACGGACGAGCAAAGAGCAAGTGAGTTCTAGTTTTGACCTTTTTACAAAGCATTTGTTCGTTTGTTAAAAGTTAAAAATATAGATTTCATGACGATATCTTCATGGGTGTAAACACTTGTAACGTATTTGTTACGGCGTAGGTTTGCAATAGGTGTATGCTCCTCACCAGTAGACATGACAATGATTGACTATAATTTTGTGACGTACGGCAATGGGTTAACTAAGGTTATATATACTGATGGATTTGAGATTATCTTTACAAACATTTGCTTAGAAAGCTACCGTCTTAAACAGCATTTCCTTAAAAATGATGTTAACTTACATCAGTCGTCATTATTCCCTGTCGTGTTTATTCTGATTAAAGGGATTTTTTTTTTTTTTCAAATTTTATTTTGGACACAAAAATTCAAGTTACACATTTAATATACAGTTTAAAACAATAGGAACTCAGTTTGTCCCGAATAACTGGTTGTAAATAAAACATTTTGTCCCGACTGACTGGTTGTAATTAAAACATTTTGTCTCGACTGACTGGTTGTAATTAAAACATTTTGTCCCGACTGACTGGTTGTATTTAAAACATTTTGTTCCGACTGACTGGTTGTAATACAAAAATATCCTTACTACCCTGTCAAGATCGTTCACTCAATATGTAATTGTCACGATGTATCAGATATAATATATCAAAGTGTTATCCTGTTACTGTCAACAGGGTGTCGTCAGCTGTTTGACCGGCAGGCTGTCAATGGACGGCTGGACATCAAGGGTTTCAAGACCTTGTTCAGGCTCATGGGAGAAGTTCTTTCATCGAGTGATGCCGAGCAGATGTTTGAAGAGGGAGATAAAGACGGTGAGTTTGTCTTGAGATAAGTGATGGCAGATGGTGTGAAAAGGATGTTTGCTGGTGAAGGTATGGTCTGGTAATCATATGGTCAGTTATGGATAGCATTGTGAGGTAAGCAATGCTTTGTCAGGTACGAAAGACATGGTGAGAATAGGATATGTTGGTATGATAACGATAAATGTGTGATTTATTGATTTCCATATTATTTACTCTACGTATTTTTAACAGGACAATGTAAAATGTTTCCCAAAAGATTTAAATCTCAATGTATTTTTGTATTGACACCCTCTTTCGGCTCTTCTTCCACACATTAAAAGCCCCTAAAAGACCTACTTTAAAAGCCCCCAAAGGACGTACTTTAAAAGCCCCTAAATGACGTACATTAAAAGGCCCCAAAGGGCGTGCATTAAAAGCCCTTAAAGGACGTACATTAAAATTCTCCAAAAGACACACATTAAAAGCCCCCAAGGAATACATTAAAAGCCTCCAGCAGACGCACATTAAAAGCCCCTAAATGACGTACATTAAAAGGCCCCAAAGGACGTACATTAAAAGCCCTTAAAGGAAGTACACTAAAAATCCTCCAAAAGACGTACTTTAAAAGCCCCAAACGACGTACTTTAAAAAAAACCAAAAGACATACGTTAAAAGCCCCCAAAAGACGTACCTTAAAAGCCCCCGGAGGACAGACCTTTAAAAGCCGCAAAAGGCCTTCATTAAAATGCCCCAAAGGACGGTGTTTCAATGAACGATTTGATAGTTCATGTGATTGTTTTGTCGTTTTTCTACCCCAGACAACGGCACGATCGAGTTTGATGAGTTCTCACGACTCTACGCTCTGTACAGCCAAGAGGAAGACACACGGAAACGGGCCATGATGGAATCTATTGAAAAACTCTTCCCATCGAACGGCGATCAGCAACTGGAGCTAAAGAAGGTGAGTTCTCCATCCAACACGAGACTGTGGGGCGTATATGAGTCGAAATGCCTGCCTCGGCCTCGCTAGCTTCTGCGATCCATAGCAAACTGGTACCCATGAGTTCAGGTCTATTCTAATTGATTCGAGGGGTAATTTTAGTCAAACGTTAGGACAAAATAAACTATGTTAAAACATATGTGTGAGAGCACGTGTGGAAAGCTCGGAAGTTTGCTTATCCCAGTTGCCCATACTCCGCATTATATATTGCTCAAAAGTAAATTTTCGGATTTCTTTGTTCCCAGGTTGAGCAGGTGTTATTGAAGCTCCAACACCCTGGTCTTGACCTGAGGCTGTCCAAGGAAAAGAGTGACCTATGCCCTGAAGACATCAAGTCTTTGGTTCGAGCAATGGACGCAGACGGCAGCGGGAAAATATCAAAACAAGGTCAGTGTCGTGTCTGACAGTCCAGTACTTTGGCCAGGGTCATGTCTAGCCGTCCAGTACTTTGGTCAGGGTCATGTATAGCCGTTCAGTACTTTGGTCAGGGTCATGTATAGCCATCCAGTACTTTGGTCAGGGTCATGTATAGCCGTCCAGTACTTTGGTCATGGTTATGTATAGCCATCCAGTACTTTGCAAGAAAATAAGTGTGACAGAGCCCTATGTTAACAGCGTCAGAACAATGGCTAATTGCAAGCTTTGTCGGAGTGACTTACAGTGGCGCTGCTGGAGAACTTTGATTGTCGGGTGCAGGCACAATCCTTATGTTACCCTACAATGATAGGACCCGTCCCCTTTTAAAAAACGTTTACAAGTTTTACTGTTACTGAATGTCCACAATTTTATGGAAGCCTTCGACCGATTCTTAAGTAGCTATGTATTGATCATCCAATCAGGGAATTCAGTGGTGGACAAACATTTGAGTGTGATGAGCCAGTCTGTGATTTCAGTATTACACAAACATTTGAGTGTGATGAGCCAGTCTGTGATTTCAGTATTACACAAACATTTGAGTGTGATGAGCCAGTCTGTGATTTCAGTATTAGACAAACATTTGAGTGTGATGAGCCAGTCTGTGATTTCAGTATTAGACAAACATTTGAGTGTGATGAGCCAGTCTGTGATTTCAGTATTAGACAAACATTTGAGTGTGATGAGTAAGTCAGTGACTTCAAGGTTAGACAAACATTTGAGTGTGATGAGCCAGTCTGTGATTTCAGTATTAGACAAACATTTGAGTGTGATGAGCCAGTCTGTGATTTCAGTATTAGACAAACATTTGAGTGTGATGAGCCAGTCTGTGATTTCAGTATTAGACAAACTTTTTGAGTGTGATGAGCCAGTCTGTGATTTCAGTATTAGACAAACATTTGAGTGTGATGAGCCAGTCAGTGACTTCAGTGGTGGAAAATTATTTAGCGTGTTAAGTCATTAAAAAAAAAAATCTGCTACTGAAATAATTTAGGAGCCCCTTTCACATTAGAATATGTAAAATAATACACAAAAAATAAATTAATAATCACATTTATTTCTTCTAAGAGCCACACGTGGCTACAGAGCTGCTGGTTGCCGACCACCGGGTTCTTTGACTCAATGAACACTGCATTATGGTAGATCTGTAGATCTCGACTGTTTGAGTATATATCAGTAATCAAAAACTATCCAATAATATTAACCTTGACATCTCAAAATAAATTTTCTCTCTTTCAGAATTCGTTGACACACTTTGCCAGCACATCGAAGGTTAACATCAAGGTCATCATAAAGTTAGGCGCATTCAAATTTATGGTCCCTGCTGACAGTCCATCTTGTGCAAAGCTCTGTCTGAAATCCTAAAAAAATGCAAAATTTTAAGTCACCTTATTCATCTCGTTTGGAAAAAAATATCTGCTTTAAAAGTTGAATTCTTTTTTTTTGGAATACGCAAAATATTTTAAATTTTTAAACTATTTTAATTTTTACATTTTGGACGGTTCTAGTTCAAATATAAATTATTTCTATGAAATCATAATTCAAGTTTATCAATCAGTATTTCCCTGTGATTTTGTTTTTGACATTCCTATAGAACTGCCCTGTATTAATTAAGATTCTTAGTATACTGTAAACATATGGGTTAAGTTGTCTAACGTCTTCTGTCAATGTCAGGGATGCAATGGTTTGGAATGTGACATTTTGTCAACATGTTTATACGGTGTTTATTATCATTTCAAGTCTGTATATTGTATATATAATAAAATCTGTGATACATGTTAAGATTTAAAAACAAAAAAGAAAATAACAAAAACCTATTCATACACACCATCCAGAGACAATGGATTAACATATACTAGACTCCAGCTCATCCAGAGACAATGGATGAACATATACTAGACTCCAGCTCTTCCAGAGACAATGGATGAACATATACTAGACTCCAGCTCTTCCAGAGACAATGGATGAACATATACTAGACTCCAGCTCTTCCAGAGACAATGGATGAACATATACTAGACTCCAGCTCTTCCAGAGACAATGGATGAACATATACTAGACTCCAGCTCTTCCAGAGACAATGGATGAACATATACTAGACTCCAGCTCTTCCAGAGACAATGGATGAACATATACTAGACTCCAGCTCTTCCAGAGACAATGGATGAACATATACTAGACTCCAGCTCTTCCAGAGACAATGGATGAACATATACTAGACTCCAGCTCTTCCAGAGACAATGGATGAACATATACTAGACTCCAGCTCTTCCAGAGACAATGGATGAACATATACTAGACTCCAGCTCTTCCAGAGACAATGGATGAACATATACTAGACTCCAGCTCATCCAGAGACAATGGATGAACATATACTAGACTCCAGCTCATCCAGAGACAATGGATGAACATATACTAGACTCCAGCTCATCCAGAGACAATGGATGAACATATACTAGACTCCAGCTCTTCCAGAGACAATGGATGAACATATACTAGACTCCAGCTCTTCCAGAGACAATGGATGAACATATACTAGACTCCAGCTCATCCAGAGACAATGGATTAACATATACTAGACTCCAGCTCTTCCAGAGACAATGGATGAACATATACTAGACTCCAGCTCTTTGGGAGCAGTAGGGGGGGGGCATTGGATAGATGTAAGATGTTTTAGAAAATAGGCACCTATAAAATTAACCTAAAGTATTCAAAATAATGGCAGGCTTGACTTAGGATATAGTGTCCTCTTTTCCTCCCCTGCCCCTCAACACACTCTTTAGAAGAGAGCCTTAAAAATGTATACGCATCCATCTCAACACTGAAACGTGTAAGCATCACAACTGTGAGAGTCTAAGTATAGCCCAGTGAGTTTTATTTTAGTAAAGCAAGTTAGCACACACTTTTATTTACGCTTTTAAAGCTGGTTAGGCCTTTTATTAATATCCTAGACTGGATAACAAACATGCGCATTTCGGTGTGCACATTTTTCGTGCGTTTAAATGATATTCACCCATGCCGTCCTCAAACTTAACACATCCACACGCAATTAAAAAACAACAATCCCCCCCCCCCCCCCACACACCCATATGCGTACCCACTCCACAAATACCCACGCAGAGAAACACACACACGAGAAGTTTATGAAAATCATATTTTTTAGGAACTTGATCCATACGCCTTCAGTCATAGCTTTTGGGGTATTTTCTTTTTCTGGGTATTCACTTTCCATGTGGTGTAGCGCTAGAAACACCGTGTACAGATGTAACTGTGGCTATTTATAACTCGGCTCACTTTTGTTTGAGTACCAGATTTTTTATCTATTTGTTTTTTTTTTGTTTTTTTTTACACTCATCATGCTATTCCATTCTAGGACGTGTGCTCACAATGTTGCCATTAAAACTCCACGATCATTAACGAGTTCCATTTATTCAAATAAATGGCGATGCTCTTTTTTAAAATTTTTCATTCGTCTTTTTTTGTCTTTAATTTGTTTAGCAGCTGGTTATCCCTCGCTACATCCTTGATTGTTTTTGTGATCTGGGGTTTAGTGAATGGAACAAGACTTTAGTTCTTTCCATTCTTAGATCCGTTATTTAGAGTCTTGAAAAAAAACAAACAAACAGTTTTATAAAACAGATGTAAATAAACTATGTGAATGTTGTTGATAAAATTTATTTGATGTTGTTAACATCTCAAACAAACTTATCATCTATTCCTGAATTACACATTCAATTATTTTTAAATAAAATACACAAATAAAAATATTTAATCGATTTAAGACAAATTTTAAATTTACTTTTTAGTTTTTGTTATATATTTAAATAAAAAAAAATTATAGCTAAGAAGTTTCATTTTTTTTCTTTTACATTAAACAAAAACACAAAAAATAAACAAAAACAAAAAATAATTGAATAAACAATATTTGAAAAACACTGACATTATCTAAAAACAAGGAATTAGTCAAATGTCACTTGTGTGTTTATAATAGTTATGGAGGATGACAGTTGATCACTGTTTTCCCACACAAATGGCTTACATAAAGACTTTTCAGTTTTGCAACGTTTAGATTTCCTTACAAGAAAAACAAATATTATAAAAATAGACTTCTTGACCCAAGTGCTTAAATAGAATGAAGATTTGTATATAAACAATAATGAGTCTTACAGTCAGTGAAAAATCCGGCTGACGTCGACAAAGTAGATTCCAACCTCAAAGCATCAAGCGCATTTTATGGTTCATTAATATGTGTCATTTTTAGTTTTGAATAATTTAATCACTGCCGTCATCGGATCATGGGCTTGTAAGAAAGTTTGAAACGAAAGTCTCATCCATGACCAGTTGTATCCACCCCTAACCTCATCCATGACCAGTTGTATCCACCCCTAACCGTAACTCATTCCTGACGAAAGTCTCATCCATGACCAGTTGTATCCACCCCTAACCTCATCCATGACCAGTTGTATCCACCCCTAACCTCATCCATGACCAGTTGTATCCACCCCTAACCTCATCCATGACCAGTTGTATCCACCCCTAACCGTATCTCATTGCTGTCATCCAAAGCCGACAGGGCGTATCTTCATCTCAGCGAAGATCGCCGATTCGTTGAACCCCGTGAAGGCCTTCCAGGTGACGCCACTGCCGAATGCTGTGGAACCCCACCTGTAACGACACACCAGAATCATCAAATCAGTTGTGTTAATGCATCCATGTTGATAGCTTACCATGCGGTTTTATCTCTACTTAGTTTCAAACCCGACAGCCAGGAAATTAATCCAATATATTTTACACTTAGAGCTTTGGGCATTATTTACGCGGCCTCTTTGTGGTATGCACACCCCCCTTCCCTCCTAGAACCGTATAAGTGGACTGACGCATTGATAGCAAAACCTGGGAGCTTCAAAAAGTGGAAGGAGAGAAATTGACAAAGGCTTCACAAAAAATAAAAATATTTTAAGAGTTCCCCCAGAAGCATTGCCATACTAGGATTGTCCGTCTTGCTGGTTTCTTGGCCTTGCAGCTCATTTATTTGTTCTTACCGATCTTCCAGACCCGGGCTGAAAACCAAGCGAGATATCACGTTCCTCCCACTGGAATTGTGTCTTGGTGGTGAAGAAACAAAGACTTATATATATATCTTAGCTGAAAAGGCTGAGAAGTGATCGGAATTTTTTTCTGAGTTTGTCTCAGTTGTATACCTTTCTGTGCCAGGTATTTTGTTGTTGAGATTAACAATTAGTTACCAACATGAGACGTTTGTAACCCGAAGTTTGAGTAACAAACATTTCTCAGCCTAAATTCAGAGACGCTATCGTAACTGCCTACGCAGAGAGATATGATATATCTGATATCTGAGATATGACATTGCGCTTTATCGAATCAGCCGACAAGCTGGACCGCTGGGTACTCACACGCCGTTGAGGTGAGACTTGTGGCATCTGTCGAACCACCAGGCACCACGGAACTTGATGGCACAAGACGCCGTCTTCTTGAGGATGTTGTCGTTTTTCTGGTCTCTCGTGGAGAACTTCATGTTTCTGCAACAGAAGGTGGTTAATGTGATAGGCGAATGCTTGCAACTGGAAAGCTCTGAAACACTCCGTGACACTGACACACCATATGAAAATGAGGATATTGCCACTAGGACACTTTGTACCATAGACACACTCTGTTCCAATGAGGAACTCAGCGCCACAGACACACTCTATTTCAATGAGGAACTCAGCGCCACAGACACGCTCTGTTCCAATGAGGAACTCAGCGCCACAGACACGCTCTGTTCCAATGAGGATCTCAGCGCCACAGACACACTCTATTCCAATGAGGAACTCAGCGCCACAGACACGCTCTGTTCCAATGAGGAACTCAGCGCCACAGACACGCTCTGTTCCAATGAGGAACTCAGCGCCACAGACACGCTCTGTTCCAATGAGGAACTCAGCGCCACAGACACACTCTGTTCCAATGAGGAACTCAGCGCCACAGACACACTCTGTTCCAATGAGGAACTCAGCGCCACAGACACACTCTATTCCAATGAGGAACTCAGCGCCACAGAACACTCTGTTCCAATGAGGAACTCAGCGCCACAGACACGCTCTGTTCCAATGAGGAACTCAGCGCCACAGACACACTCTGTTCCAATGAGGAACTCAGCGCCACAGACACGCTCTGTTTCAATGAGGAACTCAGCGCCACAGACACACTCTCTGTCTCTACTACTGATGAAATATGTACCACTAAATCACCCGCACTGTGCACGGACACATTATGTACCACTGACCAACTCTGTGCACGGACACATTATGTACCACTGACCAACTCTGTGCACGGACACATTATGTACCACTGACCCACTCTGTGCACGGACACATTATGTACCACTGACCAACTCTGTGCACGGACACATTATGTACCACTGACCAACTCTGTGCACGGACACATTATGTACCACTGACCAACTCTGTGCACGGACACATTATGTACCACTGACCAACTCTGTGCACGGACACATTATGTACCACTGACCAACTCTGTGCACGGACACATTATGTACCACTGACCAACTCTGTGCACGGACACTTTATGTACCACTGACCAACTCTGTGCACGGACACTTTATGTACCACTGACCAACTCTGTGCACGGACACATTATATACCACTGACCAACTCTGTGCACGGACACATTGTGTACCACTGACCAACTCTGTGCACGGACACATTATGTACCACTGACCAACTCTGTGCACGGACACTGACATACTCTTTGCACTGCCACATTCCTTACCACTGACGCCCTCTGTGCACTGTTACATTTTGTACCACTGACACAATCTGTGTACTGACACATTCTGTTCCACTGTCAACAATCTGTATCCCTGACACACTGTATCACTGACACACTCTGTACCACTGACACACTCTCTACAACTGACACACTCTGTACCGCAGACGCACCCTGTACCAC